AACCCCTAAACCCTAAACCCTTCACTATTGGGCTGGGGAGTCTTTGTACATCCCTGGGAGGTCTCCGAAACCCTCGGGTTGACATGGGGTTTAGGCTGCACCCTGCTACTGCTGATGATATAAACCCTGCACTACCTTAAAGGGGTTTAGGGTAGGGTTTGGGGTTTAGGGTTTAGGGTTGATGATATAAATCCTGCATTACCTTAAACATACTAGAGTATTGGAATTATGGTGTACGCATTACCTTAAAAGACCCTAAGCTAAGGGAATTCTGGTCTACGCATTACCTTATAATCTAAGACCCTAAACTAAGGGAGTTATGGTACACGCACTACCTTAAAGACCCTATATGGGAAACATGGTTTGTTCCTGTCCTTATTTTGGATACTGCACTTGTGGGACTCCTTCTTGTGGTGCCTAGGTCCTGCAATGTAACACCGGACCCCATGGTTCTCAATCTCTAGCAGGGAAGCAGCTGGTCCAAACTATGTGCGACGAGCTGGAAGGGGAGGACCAGGATTCAGGGTTTAGGGTTTAGGGTTCAGGGTTTAGGGTTTAGGGTTTAGGGTTCGGGGTTCGGGGTTTAGGGTTTAGGGTTTAGGGAAAGGGAGGACCAGTTTTGATCCTTCTTGGATGCTCGTGGCACATGTGCGTGTGTATACACAGGCTATCTGTATCTGCATGTACATATATATATATATATATACACATAGATATACGTACACACGTACATACATACATACATACATACATACATACATACATACATACATACATACATACATAAGTGCGAATTTGCATGTGTATACTTTTGTATGTACACATATACATATACATATTGTATGTATGCCAATAATTTGTATGCTCGTTATGTAGCTGGGATCTGCAAACTGTATGCACTGCACACAGATATACTTATAGACAGATGGACAGTCTAGCATTGCTTCTGGTACTACGAGTGATATTGACTGTTTCAAAGGGGCAGGGTGCCGGAATGATTCCTGCATCCTTTGAAGCAAATTGCCTTATTATAGGATCCTACACTCACAGCTGGATAAAACCACAATGGAGACTAAAGGTATATCCCGAACGAGCTATACTAAATTCGAAATCCCGTAAACCCTAAACCCTAAACATAAACCCTATAAGCCCTGCCCTTACAAGGCCTAAAAGCCCAAAGCGGTACGACTGCAGGAGGAGACATCGGCGAGTGAGCGGCTGGCCCAGAGCATGGAGAAGGTGGTCGAAGAGCCTTGGGAGGAGTGACTCACCGGGGCTGAGGCTGTACAGGGTTTCGTGTTTTAGGGTTCTAGGGCTTAGGCTTTTAGGGTTTTAGGGTTTTAGGGTTCTAGGTTTTAGGGTTCTAGGGTTTAGGGTTTTAGGATTTAGGCTTTAGGGTTTTAGGGTTCAGGGTTTAGGGTATTAGGGTTTAGGGTTGTAGGGCTTAGGGGGATAGTCACATCCTTGTCCTTGGCCAAACACTTGGGGATTCCAGCTCTTTAGGGTTTAGGGTTTAGGGTTTAGGGTTTAGGGTTTAGGCCGAACGGGGTGAGGTTTGTCGAGACCCAAGTCCTCCTCTATGCTGTTACGCGAAATACAAAACACCTACCTATGATCTCCGTTGCTCCGTTTGTAATTCCTTTTTGGGTTACCTTATAGGATCCTAACCATAAGAATGGTTAAGCCATGAAGCAGAAGTACAATGGAGACTCCAGGTCACCCTGGACTTGAAGGAACGTCGGGAAGAAGCATCCGTGCGCAGAATCCGATAAACCCTGAACTCCGAAACCCTAAACCCTAAATGCTAGTTGCAGGATAGACTCGGTTAGGCTTTCACGAAATGCTTCTGCCGTGGGATCGGGGAGCTTCGAGAGCCGGTTTGGGGTTTAGGGTTTTGGGTTGAGAGTTGAGTGTAATACAGTAGGGGTTCTATTCCAAGCTGGAACGAAGACTCAGGTGTTCATAATAAGAGGAGCACGTAGACACCAAGATCCCAGACCTGTATAATATGTATGTATATATATATATATATACACATAACGATATAGATATTAGACATGTTCCACCCTTGCCCCACCATACACGGCTTATCCCGACTTGTGTGCAGCACGTGTGCAATGGAAACGTCCCAGGGTCCTGCACCCAAGTAACATGTTGATAAAAGGAAGGAATCAAGTATAGGCTGATAGTGGGGCCAGCTCTTAATCACAGAACCACACAACGAGCATCCCTTGAAACTAACATTGGCCCATGCCGGGTTGCAGATCGCAGCCATTGCGACAGGACGTCGAGCGGCAAAGCACGACAGACGTCGTTGAGGGCAAGATCACGCCTGAATCCAACGAGGTGGCTCTTAAAATCCAGAAGCGGGGTTTTAAACAAAGCAGGGGAGGGTTTATGAAACACGATGTTCATAAGCCCGAGCTGCCACTGCCACCAGCAGAAAACCTGCAGCTTCCTTGCCTCCATGGCTCTTTGGAGCGAACTCTACAGGTCAAACCTGGAGCACTAAATCCAGAAGTCTCCCATCTCCGTAACTTCCCACCTTTAAGGGCTCTATACTTGGAGGATCATGGGACTTGGTAAGTATGGTTAAGGGTTGTGGTTTAGGGTTTAGGGTTTAGGGTTGGAGGATCATGGGACTTGGTAAGTATGGCTATAAGTACCCTGATTAAGGTTATACGTAGTTATAAGTATAGTTATCCTNNTCCCATGATCCTTTAAGTAAGGGTTCCTTTAGATATGGAGAGTTACTTTTATGGGCTGCATCCCCAGACCCGAACTTCGTTCGAAGCTCCATGAAGCTCCTAAACCCTGAGCCCGAAGTTTTTTTTGTAAACCCACGGTGGCTTGGGCCATGTTGGCTTATGCTTTCGGGTTTAGGGGTTAGGCTTGGTTACAATGGGCTACATTAAGATGCAGTGTAGAGCATTGGTTTGCTTGTATGGCTGGTACGGATGAACCCGGATGGAATAGAACCTAAAGCCTAAACAGGTGCTACTTCTAGACTCCCGGAAGAGACGGGATCCTCGCCATGAGCCTGTGAGGGAGGTTTAGGGTTTAGGGTTTCCAGCTAGAACTTCAACTGCTTCAGTCGATACTGGAGACCGGCTACAGGCTGCACTGAGTATCAGGATTCAGGGTACCCTAAGACCGACCTTTGTCCCCGAACTCTAAAGCCCAGATCCTGAAGCCTAAACCCTAAACTGGCAATCCTAAGCCCGTAAACTCTTAACCCGAACCCTAAATCCTAAACCTAGACCACTTTAAGCCCACGGCTTTTGCTTATCGGGCGCCATTGGTTGAAGCTCTGCCGGAAGTTTGATACGATAAGCGTGTTGTTAGATCTTGAAGTGGCTTGTTTGTAATTTTGGAGGGTCTTGGGGGTGCCCTTTAAGGATCTTAACGGGGTTATAGGTTAATATAGGGACCTTAATAGCTACCTTTACTTTTTTTTTTTTGGGGGGGG